CGCGACGACGACCGACGACGAACGGAGGAGGAGGAGGAGAAGAGAGAAGAGAGAGAGGAGAGAGAGAGAGAGAGATGGAGGAAATGAGAGAAAGATGATATGTGTGCCTACGCACCACTGGCCTCTTCCTCCGGATCGGAGATCGAATCGCGATCGAAAACGGGGGAGACGGCACGGGTCAAAGGCACCGAAAGTACCGATATCAACGGTAGAAGGCGGAATGTGGGTGTCCTTCGGGAACTCGGACTGAAAACCGAGATAAGAAAGCAGAAATTGTTTAACCGTCGCGTTAACGCGCCCCGTCGATCCTTATTGATCTAGCGATTTCGCGCAAGCCGCTATGCAAATAGCTGTGGAAATTCGCGCGGAACTAAACTCTCGCGGAAGATTTAGGTGTTACGTCTCGCTTTTTGCGCGCTAAATGCACCGGTGAAGGTACAGCAGCTGCGACGGGAATTGCCTACTTGTCAGAACTTTCGAAGAGACACATGTGCGATGCTATGCATTAAAGATGAATTATCTGCGGTGGCGTGAATTATTTAGTCGTCTCTCCGAATGACTCTTCAAATGGCTCATTGAATTGAGTCACCTGTCATAATTAGTTTCTAGAACAGAATAAGAACGTATTTGTATTGATTTTCCGATCGAATTGTGCCCCATAATTTTTCGCCGCAGCTGAATTTTCAACAATTTATCTTCGGAATTTCGAATTCGGACTCGCTTGAAAAAATCGCTCGCATACGACGCCGTTCGCTCGAGGGAGCTGAATTTCGCGCCGATAGAGAGAAGCGACAGCTATATTTGGCCAAGCACTCGGAATAAGTTGGCTTATGATTTCGCTTTCGACAAGCTATATTACATCGCGTACTCTACACTATACGTAGACGATACTGCGTATACGCCTCCACAACTTTCCAACGTGCTTATAATGTTATACGAGACGTTATAATCGACGCTACTGGCGTCATGTAATTCATTATTATTCGGAAATCGGCGACATTCCTAGCATTTCTGCCCCGCTCTGCTCGCCGAAGCTTCTACAGTCTTCGTTATCTGGGTCGCATTTTATAGTATAATTCGAAACCCGGCGTATATATCTTCCGATAATACGTCCCGATTTTGGCTGATAACTGTAATTCTCGGATCTCGACTCTCGCGTGATCCTGCATTCCTATCGACTTTGTCTTCGCCGCGCTTGTGCAACTCCATTTTTTTTTTCTTTCTTTTTTTCCCTGCTTTTTTTCGTACTCGTGTTAATCTTATGACCTAAAGACATAGGTTAAGGTCATCTTCATTGAATATACGGTATAATGTCGACATTGACCGATACTAGTCGATGGTCTTTGAAATTAATGTATTCCGGTGGCTATCGTGCGAAACGTTTAACGGTTTTTCACATGGAATGCGCGTGCACGCGTCGCAGCGGTTCGATCATGTGTGCGAGTTGGGCCGAAGCCAGACTTCCTCCAAGAGCCGCACCTCGCCCCCGGTCTCTCCTCGTGCCTCGCCTCGCCTCGTGTGTCGTCGCTGACCCGCAGGCTTCTTCGCCTAGAAAAAAAGATGGAAAAAGGGAGGAGACATACCCAAAAGTATTTCATTGCTGCCGGTGTATCCGTGCGCGAGGGAAAGAACTTGGATGCGCGGCTGACTTTCTCCGCGCTCTTCAAGCCCGAAGATGGTCAAGCGAATCTCTGCATCGGCCCAGCTCGCGTTCCCACGGACTGTCTTAACGAAGAACTTGCTTACACAAAACGGTATTTTAACACCCAGCGAGTTATTCAAATTACTGGGTTGCCAAAGGGTTCCTTCGCAAAAAAATGGAAAAATGATTCAATCGATCGTTGAAGGCAAAATGAACAAAAGATGTGTGAAAGATTGAAATTTAAAACTCTTTGAAGTATTCTTTAGTTACTTTTGCTGTCTGGAATATATTTAAAATTATATTTAAATTATACTTTATATCATGATTATCAATGATAATAACAATTAATTTTAATAATTAATATTTAAATAATATTATTTAATATCAATTAAATATAAAATCATATTGAAAGATTTTTAGATGTCAATCTTTTAAATTTTAGGGTGTAATTATTACTTTTTAAAAATAATATCGTTGTTACACATGATTTCTACCAAAAACATATGAATACATATCTAGAAAGTTTATGAGGACTTGTATATGTCAAGCGTGAAATATCATATAATATAATATAAGGAATAATATATATATATATATATAAATACAAATTTTTCGGCATATACATATTTCTCTTACTATTTTAAAGCTTGTTGCTCTTCTTTCTCTCAATTAACATTTTGCGATCTTCCCGACGAGGTATACAATATTCAGTAATATACAGCGAATCTCGTGTAACTTTCACTTTGCTTCTGCAATTTTCTTCTCAGTGTATCGCATGAGAAACGTTTAGTCTCTCCGCTCAGATCAGATTCCGCTCCCATATCGCAGACGTATCGGCGCCTCCGCTTTTCGCTGATGAGGCGAGCAAACAAATCTGAAAGTTTCGCCAGCCTCTTTGCATTATGATCATGCATTATACATGGCGAATTAAATCGTGCGTATCACAGCGTTGCGACCTAACAATAAAAATACTAATCCGGATAGCGCATTGAGCCGGGTGGCAGGCTACGCGCGCTCTTGGTGATGGAACACTTTCCTCTCGTCGACGCCGGCGAGAGTGAACTCGTCCGAGGATCGAGGTCAGGTCAAGGCCCCCACGAAGTGAGGCCTTCGTATCTGAGAATTCTCGCTCTCCTGCCTGTTCTGCTTCTTCCCAGGTCATTTCGCGCCTCGTACTACCACTTCAGTTCATCCCGCCCGTTTCCTCGCGCGTCAATCGTTCCGTTGCCGCTTACGAAACGTTCGGACGAAGCGAAGTAGTGCGAACGAAAAAAAAAAAAAGAAAAAACGCTCTGTCGCGCATTCATATTCGTCAGTCATTCGAATCATTAAATTCGTCTCCTGTTTTAGATACGATGCGAGAAAAAATAAGCGACACATATATGCAGGCGTGTTTATTCGGTGCAGCTGTTATGCGCGTTATGTTGTTATGCGGGTCATATTAAAACCATGCTGTCGATCCGTTTCGCTTTTCTCTAAAATTACTGTTGCAAGCAGGAAATGGCATAAAGAGGAGAAAGAAGGAGAATAATTTTACGTCTCGCGCGCTGGGAATATGCGTGAATGAACGAAACGAAAGTTCACACCTTCCTTTCACGTCTCTGCGTTTTTGTCCGCATGCACACGTGATTCCGCGACTTCTCGCCTAGCAATTAGCACGTCTCCGCTCATGGTTCATTTAAAGGAGGCGAGACGGGTCATAAAAAGAAGAGAACAAAGAAAAAAAAGAAAGAAACGGGATAAAGCCGCGCGGATGAATGAACAGAAGCCGGTCGTCGAAATGATACACTCGCTGCGATGCGAACAATGGGGCGCAGGTATAATAATATGTATATAAATGGCTAATTACTTCGTAATAACAACGCGCGCGATACCGCAAAAATACGGGCATCCTCCGCGCGCTGTTCTAAATTGTTTACGCGCCACCGAAGAAAGTCGCGATATTAGTACTTTCACGCGAATAAATTTGTGCTTAATGCAAACTCAGTTAGCGCTAATTCCCGCGTGCCGACCTACATAGAAAATACACCGCCGGTCCGCTGCTCAACCTATTTTACGCCACCATTTGAAGCTCAAGCGAGCAACAATTTCTAGAAGCGCCGCGTCAAGACAGAATTATATTAACAGCCGATATTCTTGCACTCGAATGTTCAAGCGACGCATCTAGCGACGTGTTTCAGGAAGACGAAGGAAAAAAAAAAAAGATTATGTGGACGCGAGATCTCGATTCACCGAAGTGACTTTCGGAATTTGAACGTAGAAGGGCCCCGCCGGCGTTTCAGGAACGGGACCACCTGGCCAGAGGTGCATTCTTGAAGATCGACGAATCTTCGGGCGAGACGGAGAGGTCGATCGGCGCGAACGAGCGTGGCGGGAGAGAGACGGACGCAAATTCACGGGCCCGGGGAGGACGAAAACGGGGGGAAGGGGGGGTGGTGGACCGGGCGTCGACTTTTTCTCCGGTACGGTAGAGAGTGTTAGGCACACCTTGAAAAGAGACTCAGCGCGGATGCTGACTGGCCCGATCGGTCTGCTCGGCCTGGTTTACTTCCCGAGTGTGTGTCCACCGACTGGTCCCCGTCGTGTACGTCCTACGTACACGCAGCTCTCGCGCTCGCGCGCGCTTTTACACACGCTCGAATACGCACACAACTGACGCGGACGAACGATGGATCGAGAGTCGAACAAGTGCGTAAGGTGTCAGCGCGCGGACACGTCAGGTTTCATTCGCGTGTTTCTCGTATGTAGGTGATGCCGCCGCTCTTTCTCTTGATCTCTCGACATACACCATCCTATCCTGTTGCTCGCTATTTCGTTGATGTCTCCCCTCCCTCCTCTCTCATTCTTTTTCTCTCTCTCTCTCTCTCTCTCTCTCTCTCTCTCTCTCTCTCTCTCTCTCTCTGTCCACTTTTTTTTCAGCACCGGAGACATGAAGACGTCCGTCGATTTAATGGCCACATCAAGATACCAAATCGTCGTTCAAGTTAAACCGATCGTGTCTATAAAAGCCTCAGCTTGTCTCTATAAAAGCCTTTCTCTGTCTGACATATTTGCCTTGTCCGTCTCTCTCCGACTTCCGTGGCATCTCGTTGAGCCTTACTTTCGATCGAGTCCCGAATCGATGGGCCATCAGTCGGTCAGGCTCCAGTTCTTTTACATGCCTCATCCCCCGCCGTTCCCTCGCGTCCTTCTCAATCCTTGTACGTGCTTCGCTCTCTCCCCCTTTTGTCCGTTGCTCTCTCCTTCCCGCTCTACGATTATAGCGTATCGCCGACTTCCGTTAGTTTCACCCGAATTTTAAGCATCTCGCAATCAGGAGATACAACGCTCAAGACTCAACGCGCGAGCACTAAGCTCGAGATTATAATCGCACGTGACTAGCGCGCATACGTGCGCGCCACGCAAATTCATTCATGTAATGTTTATTAATGAGGAATCGAATTCGGGAATAATATAAGCGCACGCTAATAATATTCGATAATTATGATCTTAATTTATTCGTGTATTTATAAATATATTTATAAATATACATATTGTAGCTCGCAGCTACATGTGAAACAATAAATACTCAGGATGATCCGTATACGAGTGGCCTCGTATGTGCGACGACCTAGAGTGAACACAGCGTGGAGAAGAGAGTGAGGTGAGATTGGACAGATGGTCAGAGAGAAAATTATTCACAGGATGAGAATAAATAGAAGTTAGGTGAGAAGGAAACTTCGCGAAAGGGAAGAGCGCGATGAGAAATTGAACAAGTGTCGGAGTGACGTTCGCAAATTTTTGTTCCTAAGTTGACGCTGGTTTGTGCGCGGAGTAGGCCAAATCGTGTCCCGATCTTGCCCATCCGCCCGATCCGTGGCCTCCCGCGACTTGGACGACTTCGTGTCCGTGATCGTGACCGCCGGACACGAGTTTCTTCAATCCTATGATGGAAGCGAGCACCAGCGCGAGCTTGCTCACAATCAACGCTTTGCCGGCCAACAGCGCGAGAGCGCCAAGCGCCAGTGGTACTAATGTGCCGCCAATTAACAGCGGAATGGCAAGAAGACCGCTCATCTTCTTCTTCTTGCGACCTGAAGAAGATAACGTGATGATGTATTAATGAGGCTCTATCGATGTAATCGACAATTATTCGAATTAATGATGTAGCACGGAAGAAAGATTTTAAATTATGTTTTTGTAATATACATTTTTTGAAAATAGAACAAAAATATATAAAATTGATTGTAATAATTAAATTTTAAGCAAATAAAGATTTAAATATTATTAAATTTTATATTTGTAAAATGATATTAGCAATAATGTCTTCTTACCTTCTTCGACAAAGCCACGTTGAAGCTCATCTACATTTGGTAATTTTAGTTTCAAAGTGTGACTCTGGAAAAACTTGACAATCCTATCGAAGATCATGCCGTTAAGAGCGTCTTCCTTGTCTTCCAACGCTCGCGGCAAGCTGGCTTCGATTTCCTGCACAGATTTTTCTGGTTCAGATTCGTTGGCAATTGGTTCGTCCTGAACGAGAGTAACGCCTTCGGCCACATTCAACTGTGCACTTCGAGAAATCCTGTCCATGGCCGTTAAGAGTTTCAGTTTTAAGCAAGGACTCAGTTCCGCGGCGCTACATTCCTTGTACACCTGATAGACATGGCGTAACTCGCCAAATATGCCGTTGCCACTCGATCTAGCGGTTTGCTGTTCGTTGATGGAATTAGATGTAGGATTAGTTTCGGCCGACCTCGCAGAAACCGCCGTCAGTACAGCCAGGCATACGAAATAGTGTGCGAATCGTTTCATTTTTTTAAAGTGAATATCTGAAAGAAGAATCAATTTGATAATTTATTTTGCATGATTTAATAATTCAAAGCAAAAATAAGTGTAAAGTATTAATAATGTGAGCCAATTAACAAATATTAAGCAATTTTATACATATACTTGATCGTTTAAGTAACAATAATTTTAAACCACAAAATTGTAATCCTGACCGTAATAATAATTTCATTAAATTAAAATGTATTAAAAACACTTGATGTGTTAAGCTTTGCAAAATACCGATTTGCAAAGTTGCCAACATTGATTGATTTACGCGAAGTTTATAAAAAAAGATTGCGGCTCAAATAATTCCTCGAATAATCCAAACACTTTTCTCTATCCGAATCAATTAGAATAAATTGTTATATATATATATATATATATATATATTCCGCGTGATAAGCACAAAACTTTTACAGGAATTCATTCACTTATCGCGGTGGTGCGAAGGTGCGAATCGCGAGCTCGACTGAAACGCGCGAGCTCCCCGATCAAGCACTGTACCTTCCGCGCGGCTCGATACGCGAATCTAAACGTTTCGTCCTTCGGCTCTCCGTCGACTGTGCGGCTGTACGTTCGCGCGGCTACCGACTTCTGATTAGTCCTAAATACGTTGCGTACCACCGCGAGATGCGTGTATACCTGAGAGCACTCTAAGTAGACTGTACGTAACGGAAGCCCTGCCCTAGCTCTATATATCTGGTCAGGTATACCTCCGTACCGGGCGATATTCCCCCCACCCGCCGTAGTACCGGTGTACACCACCATTGCGCGACTATTTTCATACCTGTGCAATGATTTGAGAGCGGTCGCTTTGCGCCTAGACAAACCACCCGGGAGACGAGAGTAGAGAGCAGAAATTCTCTACCGGAACGCTCTTCCCTGATCTCGCCTCTCCGCCCGGATTTACCCCCCACCACGCGCCATCGCGGTGGACGCATCCGAACAATTCCATACGCCAAGCGGTTTTGTTGCCGCCGCACGTGCCCGTGTCGCGTCCTCTCGCCGCTCCTCCCGTTTCATTCCTTACAGATTTAATTCGACCGGTCTAACCGCATTTCGTCCATATGTTCCGTTGTTTCTTCTACGCGTGAGCGACGCACCGCCTACGCATACGACGCGGTTCGATGCTCCCGCCGTTGTTCCTTGACTCTAATATCCTCGCTCCGGTTCGTCGACATTCGAATATGATTGAAAATGAAAGGCGTGCCAGAAACAAAATCCGCCCCCGAAAGAAAGAAAGAAAAAAAAAGCGGCAATTTGCACGCGGCGCGTACGCGAGATATGCGCGACGACGCGACGTCAGACAGGACGAAATAGCATATCGGATATAGAAAGCGTCTTAACCACGTACACGTCCATTGATATGTTTGATAGGAAGCGCAATAAAACATAAAGTGTGTTATTGGCACGGTTATATGGCCACATATAATTCTCTCTCGTTTAAGTGCTTAAGTGCGATACTACAAAATCGCTGACTCGCTAAACTCGCCAGACTGCAGGCTGATTTTTAAGACTCGTCATTCCAATTGTTCCATTCTAGGCTGCTTCTACTTACATCAGATTTAGCAATTATAACGGGTTTATATTTTAGAATAAGCCCCAGACTTCCCCGGGACTTAAAAATGTCACAAGAGAAATTTTTTTCGATACAGAATCATCATCGTCACATATGTACGATTGGATATAACTGCACTTCTTATTACTTTTCAAGCATTGAACACAGTTATACCGCCGACACTAAGCCCATAACTCTTATAACGTTTGCCTCGACTATTAAATCAATGCGACAATGTATGTTCCACTTTTCGATGGAAGATCGAACCAACGTTTTCCTTCTACGCGCAAACGCAATCGTGTCGTGTTGAAAAAGGAGAGACGATGAATCGGCGAATTAACGTATACCGTTACGCGCGTTAGGCACAGTTTCTTCCACCGATTAATCATCTAATTCGCATGATGAATTCCTATTCTTCCACCCGATCCCTCGCATCCTTGACTTTTCATCCCGTCCGATCCGACGTACGCGCCGGCGGATGGCGGCTTTAACTGGGTCAGACCAAGTGAAAACGCGTTGCACGCAAATACACTTAGGCCACCGGTCGTTTCCAGGAGGAAAGAAACGAAACGGAGACTATTACGCTAAAAAAAAAGCGAAATATACGCCCATCGTAGATTATCATTATCATTAAGTATAAAGTACGCTTTATCGCATTATATCTCCTCCGTGCCTTTATTAACGCTGTGTCGAAATTGCCAGTGCGTGACGTTTTCATTGAGTCGCACGCGAACGCGCAGGAAAGCATCTCAACCGGATAACGAATGCAAAGGAAGGCGAGACGCGTCTTCGTTTCTTTCCGCGCCTCCCCCCCCCTCCCGCCTGCCGTCGCGAGACTACGACGCTGCCGGAACTTACCTGCATAACGTCGCGGCGTTACCGATTTCTCGCGCGCGTACCCGCCGTGAAAATGATCTCCCCTGCGGCACGGCGAAAGCGCGAGACGCTACCGTCGTCGTCGTCTGGTAAACGCGTGCGAATAATCATGCGCCTCAGACTTTCCGGTTCGCAAAACCGTCGAATCGCTCCTAAATTCCATTTTACACGACCGTTTTATCGAACGGTGATTTTCTCGGCGGCTCGATACGCGTGGCTTCACGGCCAACGAAACCATTTCTTGTACCTCCTTTTTCTACCCTACGGCCGCTCTGATAGGAACGGAAGGAGCAACATATATGCTCGCGGTATGCAGGTTACCAGTTGTACCTGGCTACGCGTGCGTCCTGTTTAAATGAGCAATCACTATGTTAAGATCAATATCGTACACGTTTATCGTGATAGTGGCATATTATCCGTGCTTTGACTTTGAATCGGGTTTTAATTCTAAGACAATTTCAGCCCGGATTTATAAAAGTCTTGATTATTCTACTAGCGATTCACGTAAGACTAATAGTAAGTCAAACGATAATTATGATATAAATATAAATATTTCCAACATTAATGTACAATATTCGCTGTATAAATTTTAACCACATTTCTTTTGCTGCGAAATAAATTACACAGGAAAGATAAAAAAGATAAAAATTAATTTTTTTAGTATTTAGATAAAGTAGTTTTAATTTTGCAAAAATAAGTTATACATATTTACGTGTACATATATATATATATATTGTTAAAATTATTGAGCATATATTTCATATAATATAATATATGTGTATATAATGTATAATATATATGTATATAAAATATAAATTTTTTATTATATATATTATATGAAATAATATACTTAACATATTAATTTTTCTCCAAATTTTAAATGAAGATGTTAAAACGTTCTAAATACTCGGTAATAATGAATAGTGATAAATAAGGCAATAAACAGAGTAAAGAAGTTTCAGAGAAGCATGGAGAATATATAAAATATTTCTATACATATGTAAATTTGCATGTATGAATTGTTCGTGTGATCTCGTAAATACGGCATTCCGACCAGTGGAGCAACCACGCGGCGCATTCTTCGACTACTTTCGCCGGTGTTTGTGAACTTTACTCCATTATGCATCTATTTACGAATGCAAAATGTGGTACAGCGGCGCATCCGGTGCTCTATCGCTGCTTTGAAGCTCAATAGACCGTATCTTACGTTACGCCTTATGACTACGAGTGCAAGTTGTGTATAAATAGAAGCACTCGGTCATGGACCACGGCCATTCTTACGAGAGCCGAAGAAAGCCAAGGATTCTCCGGCGCAGGCTGCAGGCATTAATATTGAAGTCTCTCGGGACAAAGCGGAGGCGTCTCATATGTTGTCTTTTTATTAGAAAAAAAAAAAACAGGAGATGTCATAATGGAAGCACACAGTCAAACATCAAATAAATATTAATAATGTAAGATACAACGAATATAAATAACATGTTTGCTTAAATCTACATGTATAAAACAATGAGCATTTCCCAGAGGTACTGATGACTGGCCGTGGGATAAATCGACCGCTGTGTAAGAGTAATGTAAGTAAAGTTAAAGATAAAGAAGGGAAAGATTGAAAAGCGGGAGATTATACGAGCGTAAGAAAAAAAGAGTAGAAAAATTGGAGAAAAAGATTTTGAGCTTAAAAATTTTCAAGTCACTGAAATGTCAATATGGCGCGGATTAATAGAAGCTGCAGGTATTAGCACTTTTCTTTAAAGTAAAAGATAAAACATGGCGCATAATAGTAGCGTAGGCAAGAAAGGAAAAAGGAAAGAGATAACGAAGAATGCAATAAGTGAAATAGGCGCGAGCAGAACGAAAGGGAAGAGAATAGTCGGAGGGAAACGGAAAAACGAGTGAGAGACGAGATGAAGACTTTCTATGGTACGATTAAGCTTGTGTTTGGGGTTGGTGGGCGCGATAGGCGATCTCATGGGCGTCTTGCGGTAAACTTCTGGCCCATCCGTGTCCGCTACTGCCGTAGCCGCCGCCGCCGCCGCCGCCGCCGAAGTCGCCACCGCCGAAGCCGCCGCCGTGGCCACCGTCGTCGTGGCTGACGACGTGGCTACTGCTGTGATGCGGATGCGAGACCACCTCATAGGTCACGTGCTTTTGATGAGAAAGGAGCTTCTTCAGTCCGATGATAGCCGAGATTACGAGGGCGATCTTGCCAACGAGCAAGGCCTTGCCGGCTATTAGAGCGATCGCGCCGAGCGCCAGCGGCAACAAAGCGGCCGCCTTTAGGGCCATGGCCATCATCAAGGGCCCCAAGATCTTTTGTGCCTTCTCTGCAATGATATAAACATTTTTGTCTCAGTACTCAAAATCAACGAGCACTCATTTTTTAGCACTTTTTCGAGATAATTTTTTAATCAACATTAGACTTTGGCTATTTTTCTCGTACTGTGCATTAATAAATTAGATCAACAAGATATACTTGAAAGTGTATTTTTGTACTTAAAAGTATATTTTTATGCCAAAGAAATCTTGTTTTATGCTCAGAAGATTTCTAATTGTAACATAATTAATGAACAGAAATTAGTTCGTTGAGACAATCAATTTGCATGAAATAAAGGTTAATCTATCTATCGTTAAATGTAGGGTACGAATGCAGACCGCAAAGATTAATAGTGTCATTACTCTCTTTTCGCACTTCTTGGAGAACGGGAATCTAAGTGCTTCATGAGATGTAGTAGAATAGGTACGTTTAAGTATACAGTTTCACTCCAAGATGCCAATTATCCTATTACGAGATGTACCATCAAGGTACAAGTACCAGTTTTCACAGAGTAACTAAAAAATAGTGAACGATGTACAGCTAGGTGTTTATATGCGAAATATGTACTTGTTTCTACGTGCTGACTCGTGGTAGTCTTATTCACATAACTCGACGAAAATATTATTATTATCTTGAATTAGAGGAACCGTTAGCTAAACGTCAATACAGTAAAAAAAATAAAAAATCTATAAATTTATATGATATAAAATCAAAAAAGGGAAAAAATCGCGAGGTTATTCAATAAAAATGTTACGATATAATGATTTGCGTTTTGCAAATAATGCAACATAATCTTGAAGAAATTTGCATGGAAAACCGATTTTCGCGTCCCGTTGAGAATTAATCATTAAGTAACAGTAATGGCAATTCATAAGTAGATAAGTAAACGCTGAGACATAGCGCTGTGACAGCGCGCACGCAATAGCGCGTGCATTCGTTATATGGGGGTTTGATAATAATGACATTCCATAAATCATCTCACGTCAACCGGAAAGATGCGATGTGTCAATATTTTTTAAGTGGAATAGTCGAAGGTCAAGGCGAAGTACCAGAATGGAAAGTATGTCAAAAATCTCGCGCGACAAGATCTCTCCCGCTCTCTATCTCTCTCTCTCTCTCTCAACATTTCAGTGTTTGCGCTCTCCGCCGTTCAAGGGGAAGCGGAACCAGTTCTTCAGTGGGTCAACGTCTGCAGCCGGTATTGGCTTCCTCGTCGTCATCGTCACCGTACAAGCGGCGACGATGGACGCTGAGAATTCTAGTGTCGCAGCTGACGTTGCCCCGGTGAACCGTGATTATCTCGTCGGAATGCTAAAAATCTTATTTCTTTCTTTCCATTATGTCTCTGCATGACTAAAACATCTTTATTAAAAGGAGAATGCAAATTAATCATACAAAGGAATATATAGTAAAAATTTAATAAATATATAAAATATTTATATATAATAAAATAAAAATTTATATTTATTTATATATTGTAAGTATTTAGATATAATAAATAAATAAAAATTCAATAAATATAGTATATATAATATAAATTATACATTAATAGAAGATTGAAAATCATGCCAAAATATAACAGAAAAACTTTAAAAGTCCATAAAAAATTACGCAACTGGATATTTTGCATTACGAAATTATTCATTGCTCAAAAATTGCACGCATAAAATTATTTATTCTATTTTCATGTTATGCAGTAATGACAATAATGATGTAGTAATCAATGATATGTAAATTGTAAGGGTGCGTTCAGAAATTACACTCTGTGTGACTGCAGTCTTTGTTTATTGTTTATATTATACATAACATATATTATAGATAATAGACAAAGACTGTCATTCATGATGTAGTTTCCAAACGAATCTTAAAAACGAAGAATTCTGTGTAATTAATATCCATTCAGATTTATAAGAAATCCAAGCATATCGCAATATCGGAAGCAATTAATTAGAAAACTTCATTTCGCTGATTTATAACTTGATTGAGAATAGTTATTCAAAGTAATTGCGTTCAATTACTGTACTAGTTTTGCTTTCTAGGCGATCTTCTATTTGGGAAACGTGAGTTGCTAACAAATCCAATAAAATATAATTATACACCGGCGATGCGCTATCGCAACCGGTTCCGCATTACGTCCAAGTGCATCCGAAGATTGATTCTCTTATATCATTATCAGGTGATAAGTTTCATTTGATGATATACTCACTTTTCTTTCCACGACTCTCAACAGCGTTATCGCTGAAGTCCTCGAAACTGCGCCCGACGGATTCGATCGCTCCCAAGATATCGCTGCCCTTGAGATCGACTTTAACCGAGTGCGTCCTCAGGAACCTTCCGAGTCGGTCGAACAAGAGTGTATCGAAATCGTTGGATTCGATGGATCTGGCGAAAAATAAGAATGCAAATCTTACAATTCTCTCGAGTTAAGCTCAAAATCTCAAAGTTTCGAATTGCTTTCGCGAACGCGATCTCGGACAGCTCACGTAACGATCAGTAACCAACCTTGGCGCACCCTCGCCCTCGGCGTTGGACGTCTTCACGACGGTGATGCCCTCGGAGAGCGTGATGTCCTCTTTGTCGGCCAGCATCTTGTCAACGTAGGTGAATACTTTGTACTTGATGCAGCTGATGGACTCCTTCTTCAGACAGTCGGCGTATATGCTCGCCATCAGGTCGTTCTCACTCCCGCCGGCCTTGTCGCTGGTCGGCAACGCCAGGGTCGCGGTCAACGCCGCCGACACCCACAGCAACGTCGCGAAATGCTTGGCCATGGTCACCGTTGTGCAAGCTCGCCGCGTTCCACGCGTTCCCCGTGTGTCGAGAACAAAGCCGTAAATATCCTCGAGAGCCGCGTGCGTCACAATGCGGAATCGGTCTCCTTCGGACTCCTCCGTGCCCCAGACGTACAGGCGCGTTTGAACGTGATCAGGCACGCCAGGATGCGCCGATGCTACCTCGTGTGTTACATCTAAAAGAGGTTGCTTTGCTTTTATACCGAAGTAATCGCACGAGGGGAGCCCTCGTGGGTTCGCAGGCCACCGGGGGTCCGCGTTCGCGTCATACGCTCTCTCGTCTCCCTTCTCCCGTTGCTCCGTTCTCGTCACCCTCCCCACCCCCCTTTCTCTCTCTCGTTCGGTCGAGTGTATCGCGTAAGCCGCGGATAATCTCCCCACGCTGACTTCCTCCCCTTCATCGGCCTCCCTCTTGTCAATTATCATCGGAAAGATAAAAACTCGCGAGAAAAAGAGGATCGAAAGCAGAAGATTGTACAAAAACTACAAGTGTGTTTTTTTTTTTTTTGGCGCGAATACCGTGAGACACGCATATTCTTTCATTGTACTTAAAATTCTTTAGCCTATGATTGACACGCGTTCTCGAATCGCAATCCTCTTAAGCTGATCCATCTTGTTGCTTCTTCTACATTTTATTTCTCCGCTCCTTTTGCGTATTTCTCCGCCTACTCTTCCTCCGACGACGTCCAACGTTCTCACGTTATGGACCTACTTTGAGCCGCATTAACCCGCGATAGAAGGGGAGCCCCACCAATTACAATCGGGACCAGATTCGATGAGGGAAAATTCTATGGGCATTCAGGACGACGACGGAAAAAGTATACGTAGATCCCCTGTGATTTGCCGCACCATTTAGCCCGGCCGCGGTCGTATGATTATTGCGAGAGTGTTGCGCGACTCGAATGACCATCGCGCGTGCACGAGTCTACATGCGTCGCAATAATGTCGATTCGAGACGCCTAATCAAGAAATTCTAGTCAGCTGCGAGACCTCCTCGATAACCGCTCGCCGATGTGCAATTCACGGAACGAAATTCTAGGGCTCTTAAGGCAAGACATATACTATCAACGCGATATCCCTCTTCGTTCATTCAAATGAACTCGGCGACTGTCGCTCCAGATATTGCGATTCAATCAGGCCGTACAGTTTCGGCAGATATACGCGCACAACGCGCACCGCGCGCACCGAGAACGAATTCGGCGTCGGCGGATGCGATTACAGTCTCCATTAGTGGCGGCTGATGACTCATGTTTCACTATTCACGGCTTGATTAATTCTTCATACTAAGTAGCACACTCTGTGCGTAACGCACACACAAGTCAACAGATACCAATCCGCTTACGGTAAATTGCAATTATTTTCGTTCCTCAACGCTACTTTCCTGGCTACAATGGGTAAATCGTGAGAATACAATGGGCGTTATCTCGCCATTTAATCGCCCAATTTTATCTGAAATTTATGCGTCCCGGGATGATCATTTGGAGCAGACGAGCGGGCGCAAATTCGCGTGTCTCGCACGAAAGCGTTCGTAGTGCAATTCGGAGGCAGTTAATTGTTGCAGGTGATGTCGCTCCATTGCCGAAAAATTCATCGGCAAATGATGAACACGAGATATTATCCCTGGAACGAGGTCGCTCACCTATTTATAACTGGGTCGAGAGCGTTGGGCGATCGTTTTGATCTCTCTTCCTCTCTCTGTCTCCCGCGTCTCCCTCTCCTCTGCATCCGTCTTTCTCTTTCTCCTTCGCCGTCTTCTCTTCTTGCTCCTTCCCACAGTAACGACGTTCTCGAACCCGACTTCTCTCGGGGATCAAGATCCCCCCCGCGAGAAATACGCGAGAGCGAATGTCGCCTTGAGCGAAATCACACACCTGACGCGGCCTGTAACCCGGCGGGTTCTTTCAAACTTCAAACGGAATATAATCAAACGGAAATCACGCCTGTGCGCGCTTAAACAAAAGCGAATGTCTCGCATTTTTATACGTGGGAGCAACGTTCTCATCAACTGACGTTTTCATCAACCCTTAATGGTTGTCTGCTTTTTGCGACAAATGAATAAATGACTCTGACATTTAGAATGCGTTTGTACTTAATGTTGAAGTTTGTTGTTTTTTTATTTGTTACAAAAGTCGCATTAGATGTAAACGTGCAATGATCAAAAATTCGATAAATTTTCTATATTTAAATATATTTAATGAACGACAAATAATAGTGTCGTGCAAATTAGATTTGTAATACATGAAATATCTATGAAATTAACGATGCAGAAATGATTGAATTTAACATAATGTATTAATTATACAAAATTCCATTACGGTACTTTATTACTTCGTATTTTGTTTCTAGCTCGCTCTAAATCGTCAAGAAAGTATCTTATTTAAAGTAGCGGAGCTACTTAAAAAATTATTCAGATATTACATATGCCGTAAGTAAGGCGGAAAAAGAGATCAACGTAGACGAATGAAGAAAGCACTGAGCGCAAATTATGAGAGAAACCGCGAATATCGCTTCTGTGATATTAATTAATCAATCAACGAAAATAATTAAGCACGAGGGCACTAATTAGATTTTGTTATAGCAGATATATCTATTTTGCAAAATGTGACGTGATCCTGACTGTCAAATGTCAAAAGTCACGGGAAAGGTAACGGTCGACCGACGATTATTTCAAAGGCTCGGTTCAAGTTCAAGGTATACCGGCCAGCAAGTCGGATCCGTCAAATACCAGCACGTCAGATCAATCTGTAGCGTTCGTGTATGCACTGCTATGCAGGCCGTATGCACATGCGACGCCAGCATCTTGTAAATGCAGAGCCGGCATACACAAGATCATAGAACATCTCATCCGCCGAGCGGAGATGCATTTTATGAATGAAATTTATCTCGGAGAGTATTGCAGTTTAGAGAGTAGACTAGGCAAATGGAGGATGATAGGACGCGAAATGTGATAGAAAATTACAGAGCACAAATGGAAATGCAAAGTATGATATGCAAATGAAAACGTTGCTTCGCAAATTTTGAATAAACAAATTTAGCTTGTAAGTTAACAATACGTAAATAATATTTTGATTACTTTTAGACAAAAAAGAAAGTGTAATAAAAAAATAAAGGTAATTTGGAGCATTTATTTGCCAAGTGCTTCAGCGACATTGCTGAAGAAAAATATTTGTTACACGCACAAAGTAGATCAGAGTCGCGGTAAAAAATAACGAGACGACCGGTGCTCCGCATCGATCGATGCATAGATACGACATGCGCGCACCTAATAATGATCTAGGAAATCGAGTTATCGTTAGGAAATCTAGTAACCCAGTGACGCATGAGAAACTCTCGAAACTAATCGTGACGTGAGAACCGTACCTGGATTTAGATGCGGATAAAAGACGCGATCGGCGCACGAAACTTTATGACTCTCTAATAATGAGACGACGGACGGTCGGTGCTATGAACGAGTGGAGAAATTCCGCTTTTGTGAGCTCGAAGAACCGTTCTATTCATCCGCTTACACATCCGTGACAGGCCGCAGTGCTAATTTTCATGACATTTTTTTTTATTCGCTCTATGCACAGCGTCTATTACATCGCGTGATCGTAAAAGAAATACTACTTCTCGTTTTTCTACTAATAAAATGTTTTAAACATTCCTGACATCTATTGGAAAGGCAATTGAAATTAGAACTAAAGCTGTTGCACAGCAAAGATTTGTATCAATTACATTAAAATAATGTATCAATTAATTATATTTTAAAGTATTAAAATAATATTAAAAAAATAAAGGCATGTAAAAAATTAAGGGCTGCATCACTAAAAATAAGAATCTTTAAGTTTAAAATTTTATTTTAATTTTATTAAGATAATTTTATCTAAGTCTTTTATCACAACATCTTTCTCAAGAGCTAAATCTTAAAAAATAGCTCTTATCGTAGCATTAAATCATACTACGAATGAAAGTAATTCCTCTTCCTTTCGAAGCAACTTCGTATCTTTTTCTCTGATGTCCTTCCAAGATTCGTAGTCGTCGTTGTTTTAAAGCAACGTAATGAAGCATGACAATCGCTTTTTTGCAATCGTTCTTTTCCATGTCAGTCTCGTGTCTCACGTTGCATCTCGTGCAAATAATTTGTCGTTCGACGCCTTTTATTCGCGCAAAGATCTTTAAATATTTTTATTTATATACTTTTTTCGTTTGAAGTAAATTATAATACTTAGCTACTCGTGATGTTTATCGTACGACGTCTACAGCAAAAGAATAAATTGTATATTTTATTCCATTTTCCGCTTACACTATCAGTTGGTTCCGTTTTCTTTTTCAGCGGCGATATATCTTTTCACTTTGCGTAAATCTTAACGTTATCTACAGTGTCGCGGCGCACTGGCCCGCGCCACGTCGTCCTAGAAAACGTTAGACCAGCACATGCCTATTGTAGAAGTAAAATTCTTTTTACTGCGCTCGGGGTGGGGTTTTAGCGCGACAGAAGGAAGAAATGCGGTATTTCGCCTCAACCTGCTTTCCAGCTATCTATTTTTCTTCTATGTGGGACTCGAAGACGCGGGTCTCGAAAAGATTTTAGTAGGATGTCTGTCTCGTCGACCTTATTAAGAATGACGAACACTAGTCGTGACCTTTCGTCATGACCTCCGGTCATCGTGAATCGAGAAAACAACCGATTCCGAGCCCGGATACACCTGAGACATGCACTTTCCCCTACAGCTGCACACCGCGGTCGAGAGCCAGCCGGCATTTCCATCTCGTCGGCTCGACTTCCACTGACCGCCGATCGGATGACTCGTCAAGGAGAGCAAAACACTCGCGAATGTATATTAACAGTTTCATATATACTCTTTATGCAACGTGGTCACCGCGACGAGAAGTTTCGCTCGTGAAAATGAGAAAAAAATTCTTCCCGGAAGACTGGAAAGTTGCCGTTACCGTGACAATTTCTCTTTTTCGAAGCTTCTCGATTGATTTATCAATGACTTGTCGGTATCGAGAATGAAAACATTAATAATATGCAAAATGCACTAATTTAAATTTTAACGTAATTGCCAGTCACCAAATCTTTCATTTAAAAATTTGGACTTTCACTGCTGGCAGTTTGCATGAAAAAAAAATACCCTCGTTAAATTGCACTTTGAAATAACTATGATATAATAAATGTCGAATTGCAAAATATGTAGTTTATGTAATAGTGCGCCACGTCAGTTGCAAAAAACATATATGCAGGAAAAAGGAATAAAATAATATTTTAGAATATGTGGGGGGAACAGGAAGAGAGAAGGGCAGTTTTAATAACTCAATATTTGTACAAATAATATTATATTAATAAACATGCGTATTACAAAGCATACAGTTTTGTAAGGATGTGGCTTAATGTGTTTCATATACATCGTATTGGACTAGATGTAACTATGATTCTGCGTCGAGAGTAAGTCTTGTTACAGAGATATCGCGTTTAAAGCTCGCGCTGCAGTCGCGATGCCGATGTATTAATGCATCTATAATATCGTATCCCAATGGGTTAATGTAGCCGTGATTCGCGAGTTACGGCACCACCGGACGAACGTGTTGCGACTAGCCTCTCAGTTTGATTTCATTACATTTTATCTGCTCGATTTGTTTTCAGACGCGTATGCGCGAGCGAGTGTAATATATACTTTATGTACATCGCGGAAGGGCCACAGACCGCCCTGTTTACTAATGACGATAAATAAGAATAAATATCTTCATGAACGCTAACAGCGGAAAGTCAACGTGAAGCTTGAATTATCCACTTTCGTCGATATCCCATTCTTCTCGTCGTCTGTTATCCATAGAAAAAGTAGTAGAAGAAGAAGAAGAAGGAAAGATAGCAGATATCAGCGTCCGTCGCTAGTGATGATATCCAGAGTACGCTTGGCTGTGCGAGTAAGCGTGAGGATCTTCCCAGCCGGCGGAGGAGCCGCCGTTGGCCCATCCAGCAGACGCCACTGGAGCGGACCATCCGCCGCTGACGGGACCAGACCATCCACTGCTCACAACAGGCCCGCTGCTCCAGCCGCTGTTATAAGCGGTGACATCGTGATGATGACCGCCCTTGCCCGACCAAAGTGCTCTCAAGCCGATGAACGCGGAAATGGCGAGGGAGATAAGAGACACGAGGATCGCCTTCTTCGCTATGAGGCCGACGGCGAAGTACGCGAGAGTCGCCAGAATTCCGAGCTTTACTTTCGCGGCAATTAGAAGGGGCAAGATGTTTTTCAATCC